TCATACGTTGTTGTTATTTGGTTACCCAATAAACGCTCAAACACTTTGTTTACACATGAAAGCACAGTTATTGGTCCGTAATTCTCCTTAGCATGCTTGTCATCTTTTTTATAGATTGGAGTCCAGTCCCCTTTCTTCCAATCACATGGCCACTGACCCTTTTTAATGCAAGAACTGTAAATTATAGAGAGTGGTAGAGATATTTCCTCGGCTCCGGCCTTCAGGATTTTGGCAGAAATACCATCATGGCCAGTAGCCTTATTTACGTCAAGAGACTCCAGCACGTTTTTAACTTGCGTCGGATTTACTTTCTGGAAATCAAACGCTTCACAACCCCTCGACTTCTCCTCTATTAACTGCACACTTGTTCCTGCCGACTGTGGTTCGTTGTTACATAGGTTATCTGATGGTCGACTATTTCAACACTTATACTAATTATGAAACTGTAGACTTGAGTTAATCTTGCTGATGTGAATAAGAAACTTTAGAGGGAGATGCAATGATATACCATTCATTGGTTCCTTTTTGTTTCCTGCAGACATCATCGGCTGTAGTTTTTGTTGCAAATGGTCGATGGAATCCTACCTGAATAAGCTTACGCTCCACTGTACATAATATTCTGGCAGACACCGACTTTTCAAGTCTAATATATAGATTTAGCCAGGGCTAAAAGCGAAGCTCCCATTGATAAATTTATGATTTAAATCAATTTACAGTAAACTTGTAATCCTAGAGTGAAACATCCTACATCGAGTTGATAGCCTTATATGTGCACCCAAAAAATAGCAATAATCTTTGATCACATTCAAGAGCCATAATGGCTCTTGATCACAGTAGATTTAAGACCTCGAAAACAAATTCTTGGAAAACAAATCAGGCCGAATCTTTTGCTTTCGACAAGTTTACTTTACAAAATCTTGACAACAAATCTAGGGGTGTGTAAACCAACCTGTTCTTACTTTTTATACATCACATCTGAGCTGAAACAGTACTATTTATCATACAGACCTCGGACAGAATGCAGTATTTCACAATTTTTCGAGACAAATTGCACTCAGTCAATATTCAGGACGATCAATCGTGGGCTTTTAGCGAAAACGTTCAAAAAATTTCCAAAATCACCTTATATACGGCCAGCCGGTTCTCACTTTTGACGACCGCCAAATTTGCAGTGAACATTAATAGAGTTACTCTTCAACATAATAAAGAATTTATTATGTTTATTTTTTTTTTATTTAATGGTTTTATAACGATGTGTAATCTTGAAAAGCGTTTGATACGCGAGGCATTTTGAGTACTAGCTCCTGCATGTGATGTTCATGAACGACTGAAAACAAACGGCACAGCGATTAAAATTGCAAGAGAGACTACTAATAACAATCAATAAAAGAAATATAATTCGGTGACACATTTACAGAGACAACAACTTTCATTCACGACGACAGGTATTAAAGTGTTTCTAAAAATCCTGATTCTTAAAGCTTAAAGCTTAAGTTTATGTTTTAAGCCGGCCTCCCGGTGTTTGCTTTTTTCAAAGATGAACTCGAGGCAAGAAAAGCGCTCAAAGTTTTCTTTCAACAGCCAATTTATGACTAAATATTCTTCGGAACTTTTTCTTTCTATTTGCGGTGAGAAAATATATCTAAAGGCTTTTTAAAGTTCTGTAAGCTTATATCAGACCTGAGACTAGGTCAGATCATTGTCTCAAATCTTACAAACGTGCATAGAGCCGCATAAACTACGCTCGACTTCATGAAATTAGATATAAAAAAACAAACATCAAATACATTAATTACTCAGGCTTACCATTCGAGATGCAACACCCGAAAGCTATCAATTAGGCCAGAATCGCTTGAGACTTTTGAACCCTCTTACGCATTAAGCAAGGTGAAAAACCAAAACGATGCCATCCGAAATCGGATTTCCGACTTTGACAAGCGACATATCTCTCAACCAAAAACACAATGAGCAAACTAGCCATGAATAACAGAAGACTCTTGATAGCAGCTGTTTTTTATTTTGTACATCCAGTGGAAAAAAACAGTTAAAAACATCACAAGTTAACACAAAACTCTGGCAGCTTCATCTGTCAAAGTAAACAAGTTTCAAGATGCTGCATAAATTTTCCACATGAACTCACCTGTCAAGTTTTGACCAATCAGAGCATAAAAATTGGACCTAGCGTGTGACCTTGGTAAGAAAAAGTCTTCCCCACCTGTATTTCTAAATAACTGGCGGAATTTTAGCGTCCGGGATTAGTTTGAAATCAAAATCTTAATAGTGCAGGGCCATAGACATAAACATAAACATAGACACTAGGAGTAATCCCAGCTCAGGAGAGCAGTACAGGTAGCAGTTGAGGGAAAAGGGTGGATGGTGCTATGATTATGGCATATTTTGAACGTAAGGGTTGCGTACAGCGAAACCACGATTTAAATTGTGTATCATGGTGGAAAGGTTTTGAAGGCTAGTAATCAGCGTGATATCGTATGGTTCGTCTTAAGTGCTTGTTATTTGAGGAGACACTGGCCGGAGTGCTTCGGGCGTGTAGAAACAACTTTTTGTTTTACTGGCACAATAGATGTTATACAGGGCGCAGTTGTTCGAAGGCCGATCAGCGCTTAACCCGGGTATCTTTTTCTTTGGTTAAAAACATTTCTTTGGATAATTTTCTCAGTTATTTTTAAGAGCGTCCAATCATCAACTTGTTGCAAAATGAGGCTTTCACATCTGAGTTCAAATTTCGCACTAACCCTTTTCGCCTGGGTTGTCTGAACCCAGCTTTGAACAACCCGGCCCAGGTACTGTTAAAAGCAAACAGTTGACAAAGCTTTAGAAGTGATCGTTAATTTTATTTAATATTGGGAATTCCACATGTGGACAATTACTGAAATTTACTGTAAAATGCCGGAAACCGTTACTGGCAAGTCTTCTTAACTTGTGATGGTATTAAAGAACGACCCAAGACCACATTTTTTTGGTGAATGCCGCGACACAATGATTGTGTTTGAACACTGGTTCACTTACACTACACCTCTCAATTTTTCACTCGTTTCAAGGGAATCATCAAAGCCTTCACTGGAATGTGTGTGCGGCTCACGTCAATAACTTTTCCAGTAATTTGGTCGAGTGTATTGATTTCAGTGGCTTGCGTAGCGCTACTGTGGGCTGGTCACGTTTTTCCGAATAAATAACATAGAGCTATAAAAATGTTCGTTTGTACAGTGCCGAAAATATTACAAGTCATGATGAAATGGTGCCGCCGAGCTACACAACTCGCGGTAGATTTACTCTGTGGCACTACGGCCGCCTAGCTACACACCTCAGTAGATTTACTTTGTGGCACAACAGATGCTGAGCTTTACAGCTCGCCGGTAAATTTACTTTGTGGTACAACGGACGCCGAGCTAAACAACCCGGTTTGATGCATGCACCAGCAGTAGCACGCATTTTCCAAAGAAACGTATGAGGGCTTAATCCAAAGTAAAATTTTACTCAGGGTGTAAACTTTCAGCACACTTTTGAAAGATGGAACGCTTAGGAAGATTCATTAAACACAGATCGATAGTAGACCTTCAGCACACTCTGAGATATGTACGCTTTACAAAGATTCAGCGCACTTTTAAAAGATGAACGATTTACGAAGACAGAATAGCAGACCTCAGCAAACGTCTGAAAGATGAACGCCGAGGACACACGAATCACCAAGTGAGTTAGTGCGTCAAAGTGAGGCAAAACGTAAGCAAGCGCCTCAAAGCGAGGGAAATGTGTGTCGACGACGACGAATGCAATCTCGAAAAAACCTCCCTTATTTATTTCACAGGACACCTAATAATGCACAGATCACCCAACACAAATTAGGGGTTGCGTTCTCGTAACTCGAACGCAATAAATTATTTGTAAGAACGTACGATATCCTTAGTCTTGACCAATTTTAATAAAAACCTTTTAATAAAGACCTTTTTAATGATTTGGTCAGTTTTTAACTATTTGTTGACTCAAAAGTTGGCAAGGAAGGCAAAAGTTGCTGTAGGTTGCTCGCAGTACAAAGAGTTGCTGAAAACGCTAAAAGTTGCTCAAAAGTTGCCGAGCACAATCTATTTATGCCTAGTACTTAGAAAGTGTGAAAGTAAACATTGGTTTTCCTGTGGTGCGGACGGACGGTCGCTCGGGCGGGCGGTCGGTCAGTCGGTGTACGGTCACGTGATTACCAAATTTTCTGGGATAGGTATTTAGAACAAAACAGATTTAAGATGCCAGAATAAAGAGAGTTTTGTATTCAACAAGATAAAAAGTTCCATACTGATGACATAAATCAATGTTTACATAATAATAGTCATGGGGATCCAAATGCAAATATGTTCAAATTTACGTTTCTCCTGGTCGATTTTGGCAAAGTGTTGTGCTCATCTGCGAACGAGCTCCAGAAAAACTCAAATGCTTCTTCTACAGAGACTATATTTCTCTAATATTGATTGTTTTTTAGAGATTCGTCGCGTTTACATTTGACCTTTGTAGCCTTTTGTCTTTTGTCTGTCATTCGTAAACAATACCTAAAACAATGTAACTACTCCGTCGACCAATCAGCGCTCCTGACCGAATTCCGGACACGCTGAGACCCAGACGTTCCTCCTCGCGAAACGTCCCCTGTGGCGAAGAGTAAGGAGAAACGGCTGTTTTCGCAGGCTAATCAGCATATTGTGGAAATTTGCCAGTAGTTTGATTCATGTAAATAAACACTATGAATTGATTCAGTTCGCATTTTGATTGACAACTACGTAATGAAATTGCCAAGTTCATGGTGAACGACCGCAATTTCCAACGAACTTTGGAAACCCTTTGTCTCTTTAGTTATCTCCATGAATGGCACATATTTTGGCAAACAACAGTGGATAACTGTTAAACTGAGTTATGTCGAAAAATATCCTGAATCAAAATGAAAACTTTCGAAAGTGACAGCTAAACTTATAAGGTCATGGAAAACTGTTCAAGGTCATGAGAAGAGCTCAAAAGAGGATGTACCCTGTTTAAACATGCGAGACATGCAGTGCCCTTATGGGTCATTACAATGCCATGAAAAGTCCATGAACCTTGGAAGAAAACTTTAATGTCAACGTTTAATCCGTGAGCCACAAAATTAAGCATTAGAAATTTTGTAGCGGAGGGTTCTAGCCAAACCCAGCACATATATTTTGTGGTTGTTGTTTGCTGTTCACACCCTTACAAGAACGTGATTTTGTCTTAATCATTAGGAATAAAGTTCCTTAATTTAGCGCAAAATTTAATTTTGACCTCTAACATATACATGATTGTTGCTGTATGCATGTAGATATTTTATTAAAATGTATCTATTCTCACTAATAAGTGTACTTGATTATATTTTGATGTATATTTAATATATTTCTTTAACCTTTCTCAGGGCGTTTTCAGCTTCACATAATAATCATTTCACATGGTTTCTCACAGATCACACCCATTTCACATGGTCTTGCACATGGTAAGAAAATTTCACAGCTATTTTCACAGGAAGGTTAATCTATTCTTGTGAGCTGTGTTTCACATGCTTTTCATATGGTATCTCACATCACAGCCTGTGAAATACTACGTGAGAACCGTGGAGCCCGTTTCACAGGTATTTCACATGATTATTTCACATATCATTTCACATCTCTGTGAAATAATATGTGAAAACCTATGTGAAAACTCTGTGAAATCCCTGTGAAAATTCACATTTTTTTCACATGAACTTCACTGCGGGGTCGTCGAGGTTTCGAAAGGTCCTTTTTACCAATTCATGAACTTATGTTTCAAGATTCTCAGTCTGCTAATCAAGGCATCTGTCCCCGTTTCCAAAGCTTTTAATTCCAATTAATTTCATTTAATTGGGTTAAGTAACTTGTCTAAATGAATAGAGAAATTCCCTAAATCAGTTCTCTCTTTTTCTGGTCTCGTTTCATTTCTCTTAGGGGAACCGCTAATTAACTCTCTTTAACCTGACCAATTACAGGTGTACCATTACCTCCTACTATACAGAAGGAGAAAACCAAAACATTAAGCTGCGACGTCAACCTTACATGGAGCACCCCTGCTGATAACGGATGTCCGCTGACCAAGTACTTAGTTTACTTCAAACTGAGTTATGAAGACAAGCAACATATCTACATGCAAGATATAAGTGATCTCAAAGAGAATGCGTTCATTCTGATGTTAAAATGTAACTCGCGGTATATGATCGAAGTGTCTGCCTGGAATGAGTTGGGAGAAAGTAACAGATCAAAAACACTGGAAATTACAACAAATTCAGGTTAGAGTTTGACTTAA